TCACTATAGTAAGGTAATTTTAATATATTTGATTTAAAAATTCGCTATATCAAGGATTCGCTATATCAAGGTTTGACTGTATTAGCAGAAATCGCAATTAAGAAAAATTTAAGTAAATCTACATTATTATTATTATCCATCTATTTAAAATCATCTCTAATTATTACATAAAATATACATTAGAGATTAAAAATCAAGTCTTGTATTTCCCACAGATCTATGTCAATTCCATTACTGAACCCACCTGGAGCACTATTGAAGAGGGCGTTTGCTGGAATATTTAAACGATAATTTGGAATATTCAGTCCATTGCAAGGGGTGCTCCGGTTACAAAACCAGTTACATTAGCTCCTACAGTATTCTGAATAAATGCTCTTGCATTATTCTGGCGAGAAGGATATATTTTAATAATGAGCACAATCATAATTGTAGTACGCTGGAAAAAGTAAAGTGGCACCAATCCATGTAAAGCACAGATCGACTGGCTAAGTCCTACCTACTTCTACAACCATGGTCGGATAAGCAAATCCTGATGAGTTGCATGCTTGAGTAAGTGAAGGCCGAGGGACACGCCTTGGTCGAATGGTAGCAGTGGCAGTGAAATAACTATTTGGACCAATAATAAGATCCTTTTCACTTGCACCAGCTAATTGATTGATCCAGGCAAGTGATGTGATATAGTTTGCAACCACCCCATGAGGTGTTAAAGCTACCTCATAAGCTATGACTTTCTTATTGACTAAACGGATTTTTACAGGACGATTTTGCTCGTTTTTAGTATAATCAAGATAGACTTTAAGAAAGTCTTCAAGAGAAACATTTTTAGCTAAAATGATTTGTGTTTCTTGCTCAAGTAACTGATTTCTGGCTGACTCAAAAAGATCTTGAGTCAACTTAAATTTTGATGACATCTGAGTTTTTGATAAACAAGTGATGTCATTTTTTGAAATTTCGAGACAATAAAGAGTTTACAATCCTTTTTATCCTCTAATAGAATGATTTGGTAATCTTATATTCAAAGGTGCAGGCTATTGCGTCATGCGAAACTTCATCATGTGAGAACTATGCCACGCCTAGAAATGGTAGCCCGAAGTCTTTGAGTAAGCATTTTAGAATAGAGGATTATCTCTTGAAAAATAATTATATAGACCACAGATATAGCATAACGTTATCATATATCACAATTCTTGTAATTTATTTTTTTCGCATTAGCATTATATCAATAAAACAATTTGTGGGTATGGATAATGTTTTCTGGCAATCAAATAATTCGCATGATGGAGATTTGGATATGTACGCTAATCCTATTCTCTTCTTATTGATTTTAATGGCAATATCGAAATGCGTTCAGTATTCATTAAGATTCCAACCTTTCAGAGGATCGGTAATGTATACAAAAGACTATCGGTCCAAATGCATCAAATCTACTAAGAAAAGGAGGTAAGTTTATATTCTTCTTGTGACTGGGGGAAGATTCATCCAAATTACTATTACCTTATATTGTAAAAAGAATAATTTTTTTCAGGATAGTTTCTTGACATGGGATGATAGACAAATTTTCTCTACCATGTCTGATCCTGATTTTTCATAATGTAACGATTCCAAGTTCGCGAAGGTTCCTGAAAGACGCCATCATGGGTAATGGAATGTAAGATGCAAGAGCGGAAAAATAATTCCCGAATTTGGATAATAAATCATATTTTTTTTCGAGCTTTCTCGCAAATGCTGCCCACATGATCCTGGAATTAACGTGAAAAAGTTTGAAAAGTACCAGGATATATCTACGATCCTAAATTTATAAATCGCGAATCATCATTGAAGACGAATTCTATTCTTGGACCACATGATCCTGGTTTCACACATCAGATGATAGAGGTGACATTACAGTCTTCCATAGATTCCAAGACCTTGGTAATTGGATTAGTATATGTTTGAATAATTGATTCTGAAGCAAATAATACTAACCTAGCCTTTTATTTAGAATTTTCAATAAAGGTTAATCTTCTTTATCTTCCATCATCAAAAATTAGGATTTTCGTCATGGATTTCCTTAAATATGTGACGGAATGGATTGCTACAGAAGATTTATTATAGAAGATAGAAAAAATAAGTATATGGGTTAATTTTCAAATAAAAATAAATCTGATATTTTATTATAATATACTTGTTACAAACTGCTATAATGATAAATAGTCATAAATTAGGAAAACGCTTGCCGTTGTTAAATCTGGAGCTATGGTCTTAACCAATAAAGAATAATAAATTGTGTATTTACGTAATTATTTTAAATTTTTAATTTGATTAAAAAATAAATCAATACATGTCATACATTTTGGATTTAGCGGTATAATTTATTTTGAGTTTAGCAGTATAGTTTAGAAGTATAGTTTATTTGTTTTGTTTATTTGAGTTTAGTATAAAATGTAAATAAATAACATGCTATTTTTATTAATTTAGAATTTGTACTGATTGACTCAATTATTAAACAGAGGGAATGCGGACATTTGAGTCAAATAGTGCATAGAATTATATAGTTCTTTGCTACACTCTGGACTAATAACTCATTAAAATCATTACAAATCGATAATTGCTATAAAACATTAAATATATCAGGAACTCATATTAACAGAGCAAGACCTAATAAATGTATTGACATTATTTAGACAAGGATTATAATAAAATTGTGCCTAAACCAGTTAATAATCATTCTGAATTTGATATAAATTATCTTAGAACGTATTTTATAAATTATAATTCTTATTATGCTAATCAATTCAAAAAGGTTTTTAAGATGGAAAAATAATGATAATTTATCTGTTATTAGATCTCATAAAACTTCTTAGCAATAGGCTATTCATATAAGAGTTGTTTTGTAAGCATTGATTACTGAAGAGAAAAAAGAAAGCTTTTATCATATATTTTACTGACTCATATCATTCAGACAAGGTTATCAGTCAAAAAATATTTTATATGACTATTGTTAGGGTTTCACAATTTGATTTGATATTTGAATATTTGATTTGAAAATCAAATCAAATACAAATACAAATTTATATTTGTTTTGATTCAATCAAATTCAAATCAAAGAATGATTTATTTGATCAAATCCAAATTAATGTTTGATTTGATTCGATCAAATTCAAATCAAGTATTCAAATGTTTGATTTGATTCGAATCAATAGTAAAGTATCTCTAAAGTTTCAGTAGTGGCTTATATTAAGAAAACTATAATAAAAAGTGCCTCTGCAGTTTCAGAGACGCTATTTTACTAAGAAACTTAGCAAAAAAATGCATCCATAGCTTTGGTAACATTTTTTTACTAATAAAATTGTTGCGAAGTCGAGATGACAGTTATTACTAAGTTTTCTTAGTAAAACCAAAGCTATGATAGTGATTATTACTAAACTTTCTTAGTAAAACTAAAATTGTGATGGCGATTATTACTAAGTTTTCTTAGTAAACTGAAGCTGCAATGGTGGTTATTACTAAGTTTTCTTAGTAAACTGAAGCTGTGATAGCGGTTATTACTAAGTTTTTTTATTAAACTGAAACTGCAATGGTGGTTATTACTAAGTTTACTTAATAAAACTGA